CAAGGAGTTCAAGCTGACCGTGGAGAACATCGGCTACCAGATGCTCATGAAGATGGGCTGGAAGGAAGGAGAGGGGCTGGGATCAGAGGGGCAGGGCATCAAGAACCCCGTCAGCAAGTAAGCACAGCTCTGCTCCCCTCTCCCTCTCCTCTCTTCCTCTCCTCTCCTCCTGTCCCTTCCCTCCTTCCCTCCCCGGGATCGGGGTCGGTGCTCCTGCCCTGGGATGCATCACGTGGGATTCTTGGGCACAGGAGGGAATTCCTGCTTTTTTCTGGGCTCTCTTTCCCCCCACCCAACCTGGCTTTGCTGCTGGAGCTGTGGGCTGAGCCACAGAGGCTGTGCTTCCCACCCCAGCCTGCACAGGGAGATGCCTCCCCAGCTGGAAAGACAGTGGAGTATCTTTTATAAAGATAACACTTGTCTGCACCTCCCCTCCCTCCAGGGTTGAGTCTTTAAAGGCAGAACTTTCTCGAAGCACTAAAGAGCAGTGGCAGACCCAGCCAGAGCTGTGTGTGAGGGGTCTCAGCCCAACTCAGAGCTCTGTGGGGTCCTGACAAGCCTTGACGTGGCTCTTTGTGCCCAGAAATGTCCTGGTTTGATCACACTCTGTGTGTTGCACAGCTCTGGGAGTGGCAGAGTGTCTCTTTTTGGGTGGAATCACCTGTTGGTGACATACGTTGGGCTTCAAAGCTGAACACTGGGGAGGGGGAACACTCCTCGAGTTGGTTTTTAGGGATGGATCCCTGTGGGAATAAGTTCCCTGTTTGCTGCACGGCAGGAAATGTCTGTGCAAAGCTCTGGGGATGTGGTTGTTGGTTCAGAGGTGTTGCCTGGGGTAAAAGGTGGGAAAAGCCAGGCTCAGATTCCCGGAGGGAAGGCAGGATGTGGCCGTGGACCGTGTCGGAATTGCTGGGGAGGGAAGGGATGGATCCCACTGGAGTGACAGAGCAGGAGGCAGGAGCGTGGCTTCCCCACCCCTGCCCCTCCAGGGAGGGAGGTGTTCCTGCTCCCCTGTGGGCATTCCTGCTTCCGTGTGACAGCAGGAGACCTCCTGGATCTGGGAAGGGGATCTGGGAAGGGGATCTGGGAAGGGGATCTGGGAATGTGGCAGCGCCCGGAGCGGCTCCGTGTGGGATGAACCCCCCGGCAGCAGGAGGAGTTCCACAGCAGCAGGAGGAGTTCCACAGCAGCAGGCTGCTCCTGGGGGAAGGAGCTCTCTCCCACCTGCTTCCCTCCCTTCCCTCTTCCCCCCCAGGGGCACCACGGCCGTGGATGGGGCTGGATTCGGGATCGACCGCCCTGCCGAGCTCACCAAGGAGGACGACGAGTACGAGGCCTTCCGCAAGAGGATGATGTTGGCCTATCGCTTCCGCCCCAACCCCCTGGTGAGGGGGCACCCACACCGGGCTGGGAGAGAGCCAGGGGCCAGGGACAGGGCTGGGAGAGAGCCAGGGGCTGCCAGGGACCAGGGACAGGGCTGGGAGAGAGCAGGGACAGGGCTGGGAGAAACCAGGGGTGAGGGAGAGACCAGGGACAGGGCTGAGAGAGAGCAGGAACAGGGCTGGGGTAGGGCCAGGGACGAGGGAGAGACCAGGGACAGGGCTGGGAGAAACCAGGGACAGGGCTGGGATAGATCCAGGGACAGGGAGAGTCCCAAAACCAGGACTCCAGGAATAGGGACAGATCCACTGGTGGGGGGAGAGTGCAGGGAACAGGGAAAGGACAGGGAGAGATCCACTGGTGATGGAGGGTCCCAAAATCAGGGCAGGGGCAGGGACAGGGACGAGGACACCTTTTGAGCTGTAATTTCGGGGCAACCCTCAGGTTTGCAGTGCAGAAATGACACGTTTTCAGCGGCTTTTTTGGGGCAGTCGAGCTCAGCTGCCGGGCAAAAACCCCCAGTTGTGATGGTTTTTCTCCTCCTCCTTCCCCACAGAACAACCCACGGCGACCTTATTACTGAGGAGGCTCCAGGGCTGCGAGAGGAGTTCTGCTCCCTGACTGTGAAATGTTACGGAACCGCTTCGTCCCTCCCTCCTTTCCCGGTATTGTCCCAACTCCCCGAGGCCACAGCACCCCCCTCATCCCAGGGGAAAGGCCTGGGAGCCCTCCCAGGTGCCCCCAGGGGGGGCAGGGCCGGGGGTTTTCGGGGAGGGAACGTGCAAGGGCAGCACCAAAGATCCCCCAGGGAGGAGTTCAGGGGACTCCCCCTCCGTGCTCCCGCCTTCCAAGGAGCGTGGGGGTGTTTTTTTTGGGATAACAGCTGGTCTTTCATTGTCCAGACCCGAAGCTTGTGCTGCTCTGGGGTTGTTTTTTTTTTTTTTGTTTTTCCCCCTGGATTTTGTGTTTAAATTTCCCACCCAAGGGATTGTTTCCCCCCCCCCAGAGCAGGGTCAGGGCGTTGTTCTGACGGTGCCAGAGGTCTGACCTCCAGCTGACATTGCACCCCAGTGCCTCTGTTTTCCCTCTGCATGGGGTGGATCGTGGATTCCAGGATTTTAAAGGGGGTGCAGGGTGAGTTCCCTCCCCCCCAGGGGTCCCACCCCCCTCGTTTTCTGAGCACTACGTTCCCTCCCCCTGGCACAACCAGAGACTTGCCAACAACACCCCTCCCGTGCTCTGGAGGGGGAGGAAGAAGGAACCAAACCCTCAACCACAGTTTGTCAAAGGCCATTGTTTGGGTTTTGTTGTCATTTAAAAGCAAAAAACACAAAAAACCAAAACGAACCTCCGAAATATGAATTTTCTTCGTGGAGTCTGTAAATAAAATAAAACTTGTTTGTTCCTTACTTTTAATGGGAGGATTTTCGGGCAGAGAGGGGCTCCTGTGGGTTTTCTCGGGTCGGGAGGTTGCTCTGGAGCTCTTTCTTCCAAGGATTTTGGGGAAAACCAGCTTGAATGGGTCGATTTGGTTCCTTCCCTGAACACTTTGGGGGGGTGATTGTGTTTGACTTCCCTCGACGACCTCGAGTCCAGGGCTTGGCTCTCAATAAAAACACCCCAAGTGGTCCATTCAGTGGGTTCAGGGGGGTTTTATTTGGAGAGAATCCAAGGTGTGGGAGCCTGGAGCTGGGCCTGGTGGTGTTCCAGTGAGGAATTTGGGAAGGTTGGGAAATCCAGGTGGGAAATCTGCCAGGGATTGAGGTCCCAGCCTGGGGGGGCTGGGACACCCCTCTGCCCTGTCCCCTCCCTATTCCTGCCTGGCACAAGCTGGTTTTCCAGGGTGACCAGAGGCTGGAGCTGCCCAGGGCTCTCCTGGGCTTTCTGTGGGAGCCTGGAGGTGTTGGCAGAACCACTTTCATTCCAAGTGTCCTCAGCACAGCAGGATTCTGGCACCAGGGGCGGGGAATCACTGGGAATTCCTGCTGTTCCTGGTGGGCATTTAAAGCTGACTGGACACTTCAGCCAGCCCCATGGATGTCCCGTTGGCAAAACTGGTTTGATTCCTTTATTTCCCCAGCCTTGGCCCCCCTGAGCCCCCTCTCCCCATCCCTGCAGGGAGGGTTCAGTGTTTGGGAGGAGCTGAAGGTCATCGCAGCAAAGCACCTCCAATTTGCCCACTTTGACCCCTTTTCTCATCGTCACCACGGGCTGTTGTGCTGCTTTTTGTGCCTTTTTCCTGCACAGCTGGGTGGTTTCTTCAGCCCGAGCCCCGAGTCTGATCCCCCTCCGCTCCCGGGCGCGTTCCCTGCTGGAATTCCCCCGTCATTCCCCTCTCCCTGTGCCCTTCCAGCTCCTCCCCGGGGGAACCGGGACCGAGCCCGGGGCAAAGTGCAGGTTCAGCCCCCGCACTGCGGGGCACGAGGGCGCAGCAGTGACCCGGTGACACGTTCGGTGACAGTTTTATGACGGAGGGGAAAGGTTGAGCGGCCTCCTCGGGGGGGGGGGGTGTTGATAAAAGTGCTCCGGGAGGTTTTCCCTCCGTTCCCAGCTCGGCGCGGCTGTGCCGGGGCTCCCCCAGCCCTGCCGGGGGGGTCACTGGTGGGCTGTGAGCGGAGGAGGGGGCCGGGGCAGCGCAGAGACCTCGGGGCTGCAGCTCCTGCTCCCTCCTTCCAGGCGGGGATGAAGCGCTGCCTCTCATCAGCTCCTCTCCCTCCCTCCCTCTCCCGCAGCTCTGAGCAGCCGCCGCGTCCTCTCGGCTCTTTTTTTTTAAGATTTCCAGGATGAATTGGAAGAGCGAAAGAGAAAAAAAAATAAAAAAATAATAAAAAAAAAAACAAAACACACAAAAAAACCAACCCACCCCCCCCCAAATTTGCAGTTCTGAAGTTTTCAAAGCCCCCTCGGAGTGGTTTTCTCCTTCCCCGCAGCCCTTGGAGCTGTTTCTCGAGGCAGCCCTTAAGTGCAGAGGCAGCGACCCCCGCACGGAGCCGCCCGTGCTCAGCTGGGGGGGGGGTCCCCTCCTCAGGACCCCCTGTCCTCCTCCCAGGACCCCTGTCCTTCCCCCTGAGCCCCCCTGTGCCAAAGCCCTGTCCTTCCCCCTGGGACCCCTTGTCCTTTCTTCCCCCTCAGGACCCCCCCGTCCTTCCTCTGGGACCCCCTTTCCTTACCCCGGGACCCCCGTCCCTCCCCCTGGGACCCCTGACCTTCATTTCTCCCAGGACCTCCCGTCCTTCTCTGTGACCCCGTCCTTCCCTCCAGAGCCCCTGTCCTTCCCTCCAGACTCCCTGTCCTTCCCCGGCCCCCCGTCCTTCCCTCCAGAGCCCCTGTCCTTCCCCGGCCCCCCTGTCCTTCCCTCCAGACCCCCTGTCCTTCCCCAGACCCCCTGTCCTTCTCCACGACCCCCAGTCCGTCCCTAACCCCTCTGTCCTTCCCCACGACCCCCTGTCCTTTTCCAGGCCCCTTGTTCTTCTCCAGCCCCCCCGTGCTCCCCCCGTCCCCCCTCCCCGGTCCCCGCTGTCCCCCCCGGGGCGGCTCTGGCTCTTTAAGGGCGCTGCCCGGGCTCGGTCCCCGCCGTCGGGGCGAAGTCCGCGGGCTCAGTCGCGGCGGCGGGGCCGGGGATGCAGCTCCCGGCGGGGCCGGGCGCCCTGGCCGCCCCCCTGCTCTCCATCCCCGTGGCCTTCGGCATCGCCGGCGCCACCGCCCTGGCGGAGTGAGTGCGGACCCTCGGGGACCCCCGGGCTCGGGGGGTTTTGGGGTCCCGCTCGGGGAGGGGTGACGGGACCAGTCCGGGAGCGGGGGGAGAGTCCGGGCTGGCCCGGGACACGGCTCCGTGCGGGGCTGGTGGGATCCAATCCCGCCCGGGACAGGGGGCCCGTCCCGGGGTCCCACCCGGACCTGGAGAACAGGGAGCGTGTCCTGGGCGGGGGGCTGGGGCTGTCCCGGGACAGGGAATCCAGGGAATCCATCCCGGATCGCGGGGTCCACCCCGGACAGGGGGCTGGGCCTGCCCGAGATCTGGGGGGTCCTGTCTGGGACAGGGGGCTGGATCGGGGCTGGATCTGTCCCGGGTCGGGGCTCAGTCCCGGGGGGATTTCCCGGCGTGTTCCGTGGCTGCCTCGCTGCCTTTCCAACCCCGCTGGGGCTGGTCGGGCCCAGCGGGGCTCTTTGGGGAGCAGAACGGGGCTCCTCGCCCCTCAGACCCCCTGGAATTGGGGTGATCCCGGCTCTGGAGACCCCTCCCCACCCCGTTCCCCTCCCGGAGCGTCCCCGCTGACGCGTCCCGGCGTGGCCGATGTCACCCCCCGCACCCTCCCGGTCACCGCCGCTGTCACAACAACCCAGAACGGCCCCGCTTTCGGTTTTCCTGCCCAGCGACACCCCCGTGAGCCCGGCCGGGCATCCAGGGCGTATGGAACCGGCTCCCTGGGGATCCAGGAGCTCCACCATCCCTTCCTCACCCACTTTATTCCTTTCCCGTGCGAATTCTGACTGGTTCATTCTCCTCTAATTTCCAGTCCCAGCCGCCGGGACCCTCCAGCTCAGGGCTTTCCCCTTGTGTTCCTTCATCCCCTTCTCCCCTTTCCGTCCTTCCCTTCCCACCAGACCCCTTCACCCTCCTTTTCCCATTCCTTAGATATTTATTTCCACCAGCAGGAAGAGCTTTTAACCCAACTCCTCACCACAGAGCCGGGGGCTCTCCTGGTCACCCTCTAAAGCTCTCCCCGTGTTCATTCCCAACCTTTTCCATCTCCTCCCATCCCTGCTGCAGCCCAGATCTCCGGGATCCATCCCTGGGCATCCTGCAGCTGGAGGAGCCCCCGTGCCGTGAATTAATCATTCCGTGGGAGTAATTAGTTGTGTAGTAATTAATTAGACAGCGGCAATAATGCACCGGGGCGGCGACACTTCGGTGATTTCATTGGTTTGGGGGTTTTTTTCCCAAGAGCATCTGGGCTGGTTTGGGTGTTTCAGGAAGGTTTGGATGGGGTTTTTTTGGGGGGGACACACACTCAGCCCTACTCAGCCACTGTCCCAATTCCTGGCTCTGGGAGAGCAATTCCAGCTGCCCAGGATGGTTTTCCCTACAACTTCTTCGCTCTCTCAGGACACTTTTTCAGTCTCTCTCTCCTTGATTTTGGTTTATTATTGATTTCCCTGGTCTGGACACAGATTGGAGAGGGGGGGGCCCTGCTGGGGCTGCTCCCTGCCCTGGCACAGGAGCCTTGCCAAGGCAGCCCCTTCCCCACCCCGCTGGAATGTCAGGTTCCTCCCTTCCTTTGGGATTCACCCCCCGGGGGTTGTTTCAGACCCCAGAGGAGCCGTTTTACCCTCTCAGAGTTTGGGACCCCCCTTGGGGTGCGGGGCCTGATCCTGACCCTAAAGATCAGGGGGGTGAGGAGCGTTTCCCGTGGGCAGGGGGGAAATGGGGCTTCACCCCCGGGCTGTGCCTGGTGCTGGACCCCCCCTCTGCTCCACAGCAACCCCCCCCTGCTGGTGCTGACGGTGACCCTGGTGCTCCTCGGCCTCTTCTCCGTCATCCTCCTCGGCGGCGGCGTGAGCCACTTCCAGGACCCCCTGTTCTGTGGTGAGACCCCCCCCCAGGCTGTGGGGTTTGGGATTTGGGATCTGGGGGGAGCCGTGGGCCCCTGGCAGAGCTGCCCTGGCTCCCCCCCCACAGTGTTCGTGGTGTTCTCCTTCGTCTCCGGTGTCGACCTCATCATCGCCCTGGAGGAGGACGGGTTCATCTCCGGCTTCATGGAGCTCTATGTCAGAGAGGTATCACCCCACCCCACCCCACACAACCCCAGCCCACCCCAGCCCCCTGCTTGTGTGGGGCTGGATGGAGCTCTCCCTGCTGGAGCTGCTCCTGCAACACCAGGATCACACACCGGGATCATATACTGGGATCACACACCGGGATCACACACTGGGATCACACACCGGGATCACACACTGGGATCACATACCGGGATCATATACTGGGATCACACACTGGGATCACACACAGGGATCATATACTGGGATCACACACAGGGATCACACACCGGGATCACACACAGGGATCACACACAGGGATCACACACAGGGATCACACACCAGGATCATATACTGGGATCACACACTGGGATCATACACTGGGATCACACACTGGGATCATACACTGGGATCACACACAGGGATCATATACTGGGATCACACACCGGGATCACACACTGGGATCACACACACCGGGATCACACACAGGGATCACACACCAGGATCACACACCGGGATCACACACTGGGATCATATACTGGGATCACACACTGGGATCACACACAGGGATCACACACTGGGATCACACACCGGGATCACACACTGGGATCACACACAGGGATCACACACAGGGATCACACACTGGGATCACACACAGGGATCACACACAGGGATCACACACAGGGATCACACACAGGGATCACACACCAGGATCACACACTGGGATCACACACCGGGATCACACACTGGGATCACACACTGGGATCACACACAGGGATCACACACTGGGATCACACACCGGGATCACACACTGGGATCACACACTGGGATCCCACCCGGAGCAGCCCCAGCTCCCGTGGGGTGCCCTGAGGAGGGGGTGGGAAGGCAGCTGCCCCCTCCCTGCCTGACCCAGTCCCTCCCCACGGGCAGGGCGAGCCCTACCTGCGCACGGCCCACGGGATCATGATCTGTTACTGGGATGGCGTCGTCCACTACGGGCTCTACCTCACCATGGTCATGGCCATCGGCCACAGGTGAGCGGGGATCCGGGGGCTGGAGGGGTTTGGGGGGCTTGGAGCATCCCAAACTCCATGGGGAGGGAGCTCTGAGCCTGGCAGAGGTGCCAGAGGAGCTCACGAGGGTTGGAGGATCCCAAACTCCATAGGGAAGGAGCTCTGAGCCTGGCAGAGGTGCCTGAGGAGCTCAGGGGGTTGGAGCATCCCAAATTCCATGGGGAGGGAGCTCTGAGCCTGGCAGAGGTGCCTGAGGAGCTCAGGGGGTTGGAGCATCCCAAATTCCATGGGGAGGGAGCTCCGAGGTGCCTGTTCCCGGTGTCTCTGCAGGAAGAACTACAGGAACCTGGGGCTCTTCTGGCTGGGCTCGCTGCTGATGAGCGTCGTGGTCTTCCTGCTGGGGAACATGATCGGTACGGGGGGGAGGAGGGGGCTCCGTCCCCACCGCCCGTGTCCGGCGGGTTTGCTGCTCCCCGCGGGCACAGGAGGGAGGTGCCGGCGCTTCCTCCGTGTCCATCCCGCGCCCTCCTCCCCCAGGGAAATACAGCTCCGAGCTCAGCCCCTCCTTCCTGCTCAACCTGCCCTACATCCTCCTCCTCCTCTGGGCCGGGGCGAGGCTGTTCCAGCAGCCCAGGGAGCCGCTGCTCCTCAGCCCCGAGAAGGTGAGTTGGGGCTCCGGGGGGGCTGCCCCGGGAGCCCGGTGCCCGTCCCGGGGCTGGGCCGGGGGGTGCAGAGCCCAACCCGGGGCGTTTCCCCTCTGGCAGGTGGCGGAGGAGCAGCGCAAACCCCTGTACCGGCGGCCCCAGGACGCGGCCCTGGTGCTGGTGCTGCTGCTCATGGCCTCGTTCACCTTCTTCAGGGGGATGGTGAGCGCTGGGACCCCGCACGGGGGGGTGGGGGGGGCGGGGGGGGGGGGCTTGGGGAAGGTTCATCCGCCCCCCACCCGCCTCCCCTCCTCTCTCCACCCCCCAGGTGGTTCTGGACTGTCCTGCCGACTCGTGCTTCGAGTACATCTACCAGCACGAGCCGTACCTGCGCGACCCCGTCGCCTACCCCAAAGTGCAGGTGAGTGTCGGGGGGGGTCCAGCTGGGGCCGGAGACCCCCCCCCGGCGGCACCAGGGACGGGGTGACCTTCTCTCTGTCCCTCCCCAGATGCTGATCTACATGTTCTACGCCCTCCCCTTCTTCCTGCTCTGCATCTACGGGCTGGTGCTGCCCGGCTGCTCCTGGCTGCCCGACTGGAGCCTGGTGTTTGCCGGGGCCGTGGCACAGGTGAGGCCGTCCCGGCGCCCGGGGGGGCAACGCTGGGACCCCCAGGGCTGGGTTTTGGTCCCAACCAGGGGCAGGGACTTGGGGCTGAGCTCGGGGGCTCAGCTCTGCACCCGCACGTGGAGCAGCAGCTCTGCCGCTGCCTGGTAATTGCTTTGGCCCCGGTGGATTTTACCGGGCCCGGGGATTCGCTGGCCAGAAATAGGCTGGGGCAGGGCTATAATAGGATGTGCCGCCCGTGCTGCTGCCGCCACACACCCTTTGGGGCCGGGCGGGCCGCACAAGACCCTCCCCCTCCCCAGTGCCACCCCTTCCCTGTGTCCCCAGGCTCAGTTCTCCCACCTGGGCTCGTCGCTGCACGCCCGGACCCCCTTCCCCTACCAGACCCCCGACGACGTCCTGTGGAGCTTCCTCCTCTCCAACATCCTCTACGCGCTGGGCCCGCAGCTCCTGGTGCTCCGCTGCCTGCGCTGCCCCGCCTTCTTCCTGCCCCCCGCTCCTGCCGGCCTGCTCCGGGCAAAGAAACACCAGTGACGGGGCCTGCCCGGCCCGGGGGGCTGCTCTGCCCACCCTGGGGGCTGCTGTGCCCACCCTGGGGGCTGCTGTGCCCACCTTGGGAACTGCTGTGCCCACCTTGGGAACTGCTGTCCCCACCCTGGGGGCTGCTGTGCCCACCCTGGGGGCTGCTCTGCCCGGTGCCCCCATCCTGCTCGAGGAGCCACAGAGCAGTGGGACCCAGAGATGTCCCAGAGGGGCTGCCAGAGGTGTCCCCAGGGGTGCTCTGCTGGTCCCCCGGTGTCCCCAAAGGCTGTGGGGACCTCCGGATGCTCTACAGGGACGTTGTGGCTGCAGCCACAGCCCTGCCCGTGCCCAGGGGGGTCTCACTGGTGGGGGTCTCCCCTCCCGGCGGGTCCCGGGGGTCCGTGGGTGCCCTGTCCCACCCTGGCCACGCCGGGAATACTCGGGAGGGGGGGCAGTGCCAGGAAAACACTGTTTACAAAATAAAGGAGCCAAGGGTCGTTCCGGAGCCTTGTCCCTGCCGTGCCCGGGGATGTCCCTCCGTGCCAGCGGTGGGAGCACAGGGATGGGACCCCCCCGGGCACCCGCAGGGATGAAGAGCCCCATGACCACTCCCCTGCGGCCCTTTGGGGTGGGGCCGGGGGGTCCCCCTGTGTGCCCGCGGGGGGGTGCGGTGGGCACGCGGGTGTGGGGGGGGTTGTAGGAGGGTTTGTGAGGGTGGGCTGGGGGCGCACGGGTGGGCGGTGGGCACACGGGTGGGCGGTGGGCACACGCTGCCCTTGCCGTGCCCGCGGCGGGGGATTTCGCCGACAAAACTCCCCGTGCCCCGCGCGTCCCCCGGGGGTCCCGGCAGCACCGGGGGGTCCCGGGGATGGGGAGAAGGCGGGCGGGCCGGTGACCTTGGCGAGCGGCCGACCCTGCGCAGCGCCGGGAGAGCCGGGGCAGGGCCGGGCCGAGCTCCCGGTGCCGCCCCCTCCCTGCGCGGAGCCGCACCGGCGGCACCGGCGGCACCGTCGCGCTGCTGCGGGCGGGCCCCTCCCGCCGCCGGCACCGGGGACACGGTGAGTGCGGGGCTGCGGCGGCTCCGCTCGCTGCGGGGCGGGCGCGGGGCGCCGGGACGGGACCCCCCCGGTGCCGGTACCGGTTTCCCGCCCCCCCCTCCCCGCGCTGCGCTGCCCGGGCACCGGAGTCCCGCAGCCCCGGGGCCGCCGCCGCAGTGTCCCGCACTGCAACACCGCGCCGGGCCCGCGGCCGCGGGCGGGCACAGCCGGGGCTGCCGCATCCCCCCGCCCCGCCCGGGCACCGCGACCCCCCGGAGGGGCTGCGCATCCCCCCCCTGCCCCCGCACTCGGCACCGGGACCCCCGGGAGGGGCTGCCCTGCTCTCACTGCCCCCGGCACGGGGTACCGGAGCCTCCCGAGGGTCTGCCCCGTTCTTTCTGCCCCCGGAGGGAACACCGGAATCCTCGAAGGGGACTTTCCCGCTCCCCCTGCCCCGGCCGGGCACCGGGACCCCCGGGGGGGCTGCTCCGCTCCACAACCCCGCGGACCGACCGGGGCTGCCCCGCTCCCCCTTACCCTGCACTTGGCACCGGGACTACCGGGAGGGGCTGCCCCGCTCCCCCTGCCCCCCGCTCGGGCATCGGGACCTCCGGGGGGGGGGGGACACACACGCTCCTCTCCTTATGCCCCCAGACAGAGCAGCGAGACCCCCGGGGGGGTCTGTTCCGCTTCCCGTGCTCCCGGAGCGGGCACCAGGACCCCCGGGGATGCCCCGCTCCCTCTTCCCCCGGACTTGGCACCGGGACCACCGGGACGGGCCGCCCCTCTCCCGCTGCCCCGACCAGGCACCGGCGCTCCCGGGGGGCTGCCCCGCTCCCCCCACCCCACATCCAGCTCCCGGCGCCCCTTCCCCACCCTCCCCTGCGATTGGGGGGGGCTCATTCCCTCGGTGAGGGGGGACGCGGAGCCAGGTTGGGATCTGGGGCACCCCCCGAACGCGGGGCTCGGGGTCGCAGCCCCCGAGGATCAGGAGGCCGTGCCCCGGGAAGGGGGGGGGGCGCAGCCGGGGGTCTCGGGGGGCTCCGGCCGCCGCCGCAGCCGCTCCAGCCCCATCAGTTCGGTTTCCTGATGTGCCGGCGCTGCCATAAATAACTCAGGAGAAGCGGCCCGGCGCGCCTGCCATGAAATATTCATCGCGGCTGTAACCGAGCGGGGCAAGCCGAGTTCAGCGCCGGGGGCACGGGGGTCCCTGGGGCCGGGGGGGGCGACGAGGGGAGGCAACGAGAGCCCCAGCGCTGCCGGTGCCCCCCCTCCGCTCGGGGCGGGTCAGGGGGTGGTGGTGGGTGATGGCACCCGGGGGGGGCGGGTCGGGGACCGGCGTTGCTGCTGGGGGGGCTGCCGAGGCCGGGGGTCGGGCAGAGCGGGGTCTCCTCCCGGGGGGCGGCTGGAGGGGGTGCTGAGGGCTCTGCTGTACCCCCCCAGATGCGTCCCCAAAGCCCCTGGGCCGCCGGCCCGGCAGCTCTGCTGCTCCTCGCGGGAATCCTCGGCTCCGAGGCGCTGCAGAGCCCCCGGGGGAGGAAGAAGGTGGTTCATGTCATGGGTGAGTGGGGAGGGGCGTCCCGGGGTGGGATGGGGTGGGATGGGATGGGGTGGGATGGGATGGGGTGGGTTAGGATTAGGGTTAGAGTGGTGACAGGGACAGGGCCAGTCCTGAGCTGGATGTCCCTTGTCCTGATCTGAGCGTCCCTTGTCCTGATCTGGGTGTCCCTTGCAGAGGGTGACAGGGCCAGTCCTGAGTGGGGCGTCCCTTGCAGAGGGTGACAGGACTAGTCCTGACCCGGGTGTCCCTTGCAGAGGGTGACAGGGCCAGCCCTGATCTGGGTGTCCCTTGTCTTGAGCTGGGATTCCCTTGCAGAGGGTGACAGGGCCAGCCCCGAGCAGGGTGTCCCTTGTCCTGACCCAGGTGTCCCTTGCAGAGGGTGACAGGGCCATCCCTGACCCGGGTGTCCCTTGCAGAGGGTGACAGGGTCAGTCCCGATCTGGGTGTCCCTTGCAGAGGGTGACAGGGCCATCCCTGACCCGGGTGTCCCTTGCAGAGGGTGACAGGGCCATCCCTGACCCGGGTGTCCCTTGCAGAGGGTGACAGCGGGGCCGTGGTGGTGCAGACGGCCCCGGGCAAGGTGGTGACTCACCGGGGCGGGACCATCATCCTGCCCTGCCGCTACCACTACGACGTGTCCGCGCACGACCCGGCCGAGATCCGCCTCAAGTGGACCAAAGTGACGGAGCCCATGGCGTTCGTGGACGTGTTCGTGGCGCTGGGCGAGGCCCGGCGGGCGTTCGGGCCCTACCGCGGGCGCACGGCCCTGCAGGAGGACGGGGCGGGCGACGCCTCCCTCATCATCCGCAACGTGACCCTGCAGGACTACGGGCGCTACGAGTGCGAGGTCACCAACGAGCTCGAGGACGACACCGGCGTGGTCAAGCTGGACCTCGAAGGTACCGGCATAGGGGATGCTCCCGGGGGTTTGGGGAAGGGCTGGACGACACCGGGTGTAAAACCCGATGGCCAAAATGCCCCGAAAGGACCCCCCGAGGCTCTTTTTTGAGCGTCAGAAAGCAAAAGCCACTCGTTTGTTTGTTTATTTATTTATTTATTTGTTTGTTTGTTCCTGCTGTCCTGGGTGCGTGGGGATCGTTCCCAAAGTGCCCCACGCCGAGGTGCAGAGGTGCTCGTGGTGGTTTTGTGCCCCACGCAGGCCCCCCCCCCAAAAAAATGACAGGCAGGGGAAGTTCAGGAAAGTTTGATCCAAAAAGTCGGGAACGCCGGACTTCGAGAGGAAAAGCTGCCACCCCTCCTGTTCCCTGAGAAACACCCCCCTCCTGTGTGGGCTTTTATCTTCCCTGCCCTCCCCTCCCAGGCCCTCTCCCAAGGCCCGCAGCCGGTGGGAGTTTCTCTCTCCTCGTACCTGTGACTTCCCTCTGGAATGCACGAGGAGAAATCACCCGGATTATCCGCATTAACCCCGGGCAAGGCGCTTCTCCCGGGGCGGGACAGCATTCCCGGGAGGGACGAGCCCCATCCCCTGGCCACGAAATCCCCCGGGAGGGATCTCCCCCCTCCTCCCCCCCCGGCGCGGGATGATTGGGATGCGGTTCCCGGTGCCCGCGTCCCTTTCTCCCCGGGGCCGGGCGCTTTTCCCGGCGCGTGCCGGTGCTTTATTGCCGCCGTTCTTGGCTTTCACTGTTGCTCCGGGTTTATGGGATGGCAGCTCGTAAACCCCGAGGGCAGGCGGCAGCTCCGGGGCTCGTAAAGCACCCGGCTGGGAGGGATGAGGGGCTGGGAGCGGCTCCGGGGCTCGTAAAGCACCCGGCTGGGGGGGATGAGGGGCTGGGAGCAGCTCCGGGGCTCGTAAAGCACCCGGCTGGGAGGGATGAGGGGCTGGGAGCGGCTCCGGGGCTCGTAAAGCACCCGGCTGGGGGGGATGAGGGGCTGGGAGCAGCTCCGAGCCCGCCGGGACGTCGGGAAAGGGGGAAAACCCTTCTTTTTGGGGGCTGCTGCGGGGGTGCAACGGCCTGGCTGGACACCAGTGGTGTCCCCGTTCTCCCGGAGCCTGGGGGTGGAACGGGGATCCCTAAAGCCGCAGCGTGGAGGGTCTGGGGGCTCTCAACCTCCCCCCCGAGCACAGGCAGGGGCAGCTCATCGTGGCCGGGCTTTGCAGCCGTTTGTGGACAAATCTAGGGGGCAAGAAAAAAAAAAAAAAAAAAAAAAAAAAAGGGAAAAAAGCAGCGAGGTTTGAGAACCGTTGGATCACGAGACACGGAGTAAAAACTGAGCCTGAAAACGGCTTTTTCAGAAGGTGATGTTAAAAACTTTCAGTGAAAGCAAACCGAACCGCAGCCACCCCGACCCGGGGGCTGTGCCGACCCCAGGGTTCAGGCAGGGGAGAACCTCCCGCCCCCAATTCCTCCTCCCACCCCTCCTCTCCCCCCTCCAGGCGTCATCTTCCCGTACCACCCTCGCCTGGGCCGCTACACCCTCAACTTCCACGAGGCTCAGCAGGCGTGCCTGGAGCAGGACGGCATCCTGGCGTCCCACGACCAGCTGCACCAGGCCTGGCTGGAGGGCATGGACTGGTGCAACGCGGGCTGGCTGGAGGACGGCTCGGTGCAATACCCCATCTCCCGGCCGCGGGAGGAGTGCGGCCGCAAGGACACGCCCGTGGGCGTGCGGAACTACGGCTACCGGCACAAGGAGAGCGAGCACTACGACGCCTTCTGCTTCACCTCCAACCTCAACGGTACCCGCGGAGGGGCCGCCGAGCCCCGCCCGGGACGAGGGGAGGGCTGGGGGGGAGGTTGCCATGGCGACCCGGGAGGATGCTCCGCCCTGGGAAGGGGGGAGGTGGCCGCGCGTCCCTTCCCTGGATCCCTCCCTTCCCTGGGTCCCTCCCTTCCCTGGGTCCCTCCCTTCCCTGGTTCAGTGGTGGGGACCCCCCCTTCCCCCCAGCAGGGACCAGCCTCCACCCTTGTTGGTCCTGGGGCTGGAACACCCGGTTTTAGCAACACCCTCTCTCTTTTTTTAGCAAAAAATTCTCTTTTTTTTTTAGCAAAACCCTCTCTTTTTTTAGCAAAACCCTCTCTTTTTTTAGCAAAAACCTCTCTTTTTTTAGCAAAAACCTCTCCTTTTTAGCAAAACCTCTCTGGTTTTCAGCAAAAACCTTTCGTTTTTAACTAAAACTTCTCTTTTTTTTTTTGCCCACCCCTCCTTTTTTTTTTTTTTAGCACAAACTTCTCTCTTTTTTCTTTTTTTTTTTTTTTTTTTTTTTTGGCAAAAAACCCCTCTGGTTTTTTGTTTGTTTTTTTTTTTTTTAGCCAAGCCATCTCTGCCAGGCAGGAGCAGGGCACGGAGGTAATTGCAGCAGCAGCGGGCCCCGGGTGATGGATGAGGCCGGGCCCACGCAAGACAGATGGAGCCGGGAGGGCTCCCGGGCTCTGTAAATTCCTCCTGCCTGGCAGGGGGGGCCGGCGGGGGCCCTGCTGATGTTTATTTAGTGGTGGCAGGTGGGATAAATAGCTGGTGACACCGGCACGAGGAGCTGGCACTGCCCTCACAGCCCTAAATCTGCCCACGCTGTGGGTCCCCAGAGCCCACCCAGCCCCTCACCTCCTCCTGCCCCCCAAAATGTGTTGGGGGGGGGCCACAGGGCTTGTATCACGTGTTTTTTTCAGCCCCCCTCAAAAAAATGGACTGGGGGGAGTCCACAGGATTGCACCACCCTTCCTTCAGCCCCCCCAAAATGTGGTGGGGGGAACCCTCCAGGGCTGGCATCACTCGCCTCCTCCAGCCCCCCAAATGTGCTGGGGGGGGTCCACCAGACAGGTACCACCCACCCTCCACCTCCAACCCCCCCAAAAATGCATTGGGGTTGGTCCATGGGGTTTGTGCCACTCACCACCTCCAGCACCCCCAAAAATGCACTGAAGGGGCTCCAAAAATGCATTGAGGGGGCTCCAAAAATGCATTGAGGGGGCTCCACAGGGTTCGTGCCCCTCACCACCTCCAGCCCCTCAAAAATGCACCGAGGGGGCTCCAAAAATGCATTGAGGGGGCTCCACTAGGTTTGTGCCACTCACCACCTCCAGCCCCCCAAAAATGCACTGAAGGGGCTCCAAAAATGCACTGAAGGGGCTCCAAAAATGCACTGAAGGGGCTCCATTGGGTTTGTGCCACTCACTACCTCCAACCCCCCCAAAAATGCATTGGGGTTGGTCCACAGGGTTCGTGCCCCTCACCACCTCCAACACCCTCAAAAAATGCACCGAGGGGGCTCCAAAAACGCATTGAAGGGGGCTCCAAAAATGCACCGAGGGGGCTCCCCATGGCTTGTCCCCCTCGCCCCACCCCACCCCACCGATCCCACAGGGATGCTCCAGCACTGACCTCCCCCCCCCCCTCCCCGCTTTGTGCCCCTCCCCAGGCAAAGTTTACTTCCTGAAGACGTTCCGCAAGCTGAGCTACCCGGAGGCGGTGCAGGCCTGCAAGAACAACGGCGCGGCCGTGGCCAAGGTGGGGCAGCTGTACGCGGCCTGGAAGCTGCAGCTGCTGGACCGCTGCGAGGCGGGCTGGCTGGAGGACGGCAGCATCCGCTACCCCATCGTCAACCCCCGCGCCCGCTGCGGCGGCCGCGAGCCCGGCGTGCGCAACCTGGGCTTCCCCGACAAGAAGTACAAGCTCTTCGGCGTCTACTGCTTCAAAAAGGCCGGGGATGCGCCCCCGGAGAAGGCGGCGGCGGGCGGGGGGGGGACACACCCCAACCGCGTGTGAGGGAGCGTCTCCTCAGGTTTGGCCGGGGAACGCGGCCCCCCCCAAAAAAAAAACCGCGCCTGGGTGTTTGTCGCCGGGCTCCCCGGGGGTCGCGGCGGAGCTGCGGGCAGCCCCCGCCTCGGGCCGGAGCCCGGTGGCGCTCGAGGGGGGGAAAACTTGAGGCGGCGGGAGGGGAAGGACTTTGGGAGCGCTGCCCCCGGGCCCGGGGCTGGCTCCCCGCGCTCCCCGCTCGTCGCAGCTCTTGCTTCTCGACCTGCCTGTTGCATGTGCTAAAGGCCCATCAGAGCCTCCATCCTCACCCCCCCACAGCGCTGATACCCCCCCGCCCCAACCCCCGGGAGGTGCCGCGGGCCACCGGTGTCACGGCACCGTCAGGTCTCTGCAGGGGACTGACCTGCCGCGGGCTCCCCAAAACGCCTCTTTGGCGCTGGGCAAGGACTGGGGGCACTGGGCAGCCCGGGGGGGGGCACTGGGCAGCCTGGGAGGGGGCACCCACAGCCCCTCCAGCCCTCGCCGGGGCCGGGGCAGCTCCTTCGCTTGGCTTCGTGCGGATGAAGTGGGAGGGGCTGGGTGGGCACCGCCCCCCGCGCCCACCCCGCCGGGCACCCCCCGAGGCTTTTGGCAGCCCTGGGCACCCCCCCGAGGCTTTTGGCAGCCCCGAACGTAGATGAAATAAAAGCTTCGGCCGCTTTGGAGAGCTGAGCCGGGCTCTGGTGTGTCCTTCGCCGGTGCCGCCCCCGAGGGGCGTCTCGGGGACCCCGGCGCTGCTCGGCCTCACCTTCCCTCCCTGTTCCCAGCACGTTCAGAGCATCCCAACAGCATCCTGCTTGGATTTGTTGGGACCAGATCCAAGGGAGCAGCCCAGGAGCCACCGTGGGGGGTGGCAGGACACGGATGGGGACCAGGGTCCCCCAGAGGGGCTGGGGGCTTCCTCCCCACCCCGGCCCAGCTGAGCACGGCCCATCCATCGCCTTCACCAGCTGATGGAAACAAAGAGCTGCTGGGATGTGACAGCCCTGGCAGGGCACAGCAGGGTGGGTGACGGGCAGTGGGGTGCAGGGAGGACCCCAATAAATCCATCAGCGTCTCCCCAGCTCGAGGGGGGTCCGTGGCCACGCTGGGGACACACGTGGCAGCCACCACCGGGGTGACTCGTGGGGAGCACCAGCAGCCCCGGGAGAGGGGTTGGGTTTGCTGCGAGTTAAGTCCATGTGGTGAAAGGAGGTGGCAAAAAGGACACGGGGGGACCTTCTTGGGGGGACCTTCTTGGGGGTGCCCACAGCCCCCGGGAGGGCACCAGGCTCGGGGAACTCGCTCAACTGTTAAAAAAATTTATTAAAATGTCCAGCAGTACAGAAAGGCAGAGTCAGAAACGGGGGGGGAAGGGGGGGTCGGGGCTGGGGAGGGGGGTCAGGACACGGCAGTCACGTCGCAAACAGCAGAGATCAGAAAGCGCCGTACACACACACACACACACACGCCACTCCAACGGGACCGGGACAGCGGGAACGGGGCAGCAGCAACCAACCGGCCCCAGAGCGGGCGCGGGGCGGGACCACGGCCCTGGTGGCACCTGGTGGCACTTGGTGGCACCGTGTCCCCACCCCGCGGGCAGGACCGGGGTGCCGGGGAAGGAAAAGGGGGGAGGCTGCTAAAAAAACCAGAGCCACCCGAGTGGACGGCCGGGGTGGGACACGGGGGGGCTGCCTGGGTAACCCCCACTTTGGGGACGGGGCCAGAGCCCAGCCGGGGGTGGGGGGGGGTCCCTGTGCGGGGCTGGGGGCTCGACCCCGGGCCGGGGGGGGGCTGAGCGTGGGGCATGCAGGGAGGGCTGGGGACGCACACGCAGCCGCCCCCTCCGGATCCTATTCCCTACGGGGCCGGGCATCCTAAGGAGCTAAAGCCAAAAGGGGGTTATAAAAGAGAGGGAGGGGGGGGGCGAGGGAAGGGGGTGGGAGAGGGGGGCGGGAAACGTCACCACACCCCGCGGGGGACCCTTGTGCTCGGCGGCCCCCCGGCTCTAGAAGTAGTGCCCCTCCTGCATCCAGTCCAGCCGGAGGTGCTTGCGGTGTTTTCGCCGCTCCTTGCGGGGTTTGTGGTGGTGGTGCTGGTGGTGGGGGTGGCTGTGCCGGTGCCGGCGGTGCCGCCGCGCTCGGTGCGACCGCCTGGCTAACGGGGGGGAAAGGGGGGGCAACCGGGGGAAGGGGGGTCAGGAACGGGCACCCACATCCCCCCCCCCCCGGGACCACCCCCTGCCCGCCCCGCCCCGCCCCGTCCCCACTAACGTTTTGTGCAGAGGATTTTGGGCCGGTCCCACTTGCCGGTGCTGTGGCACTTGATGGTGGGCACGTGGCGCTGGGTGAAGCCCTCCTGGCACTGGTAGCGCACGCTGGAGTGGATGTTGTACTTCTCCTTCCTCTTCCCCACCGGGAAGGCGTTGGCCACCTCCGGGGGGGGCCCACACAGCACTGGGGGGGGGGACACGCAGAGCCCTGTCACCCCCCTGTTGCTGGGAGGGGACAAGGGGACACTGCCACTGTCACTGGTTCTCTCCAGGAGCCCCCCATTCCCAGGAGGGGACAAGGGGACACTGCCACTGTCACCGGTTCTCTCCAGGAGCCCCCCATTCCCAGGAGGGGACAAGGGGACACCCTGCCACCAGCGGTGATGGCTTTAGGAGAGGCTCCTCCATCAGGGTGGCCCCGAGGTGTCCCCAGGATTTAATTTGTTAATTAACGGCCCTATTGGGCCGTCATTAACACGCGGGGTGGGGAGGAGCTGGAGGTTAATAAAACTTCCAAGATAAGGGATGGGAACTTAATGGGTTTAATGGTGGCAAATTAAACGAGTTCAAGCGGCGAGGGAGGAATTGATTGGGACAAAGAGAGGAAACACAGAGATTCAGGGGGAACCGCTGGAGAGGTTTGCTGAGGATGAGGAGGTTCCTGGAGAGAGACCGTGGGATGGGAACAGGGATGCTGGGAACTGTGGGGTGGGGGTGCTGCAGGATGGGAATGTTGGGGGCTGCAGGATGGGGATGGGGAGCCCTGTGGGACGGGGACACCAGGGACTGTGGGATGGGGACATCAGGGACTGTGGGATGGGGAGCCCTGTGGGATGTGGGCACCAGGGACCGTGGGACGGGGACACCAGGGACTGTGGGATGGGGACACCAGGGACTGTGGGACCGGGACAGGGGTGCCGGGGGCTGCGGGCTGGGGGTGCCCCAGGGTGAGGGCCCCGGGGCAGGCGGTACCTGTGCCTTTCTTGCAGATGTAGGGCAGGTTGTAGTTGCAGGGCACGTCGTTCCACTTGCCGATCTCGTGGGACACCAGCACCACGCAGTCCTCGCCCCCCGCGAAGAAGTTGTCGGGTTGGTTCTCCCGCCAGTTCTCGTATTGCTGCGGGACCCCAGCGAGGGTGAGACCCCCCCCTGCCCCGCGCCCCGAGCCCCCCCGAGCCCCCCCAAAAGGCCCTCACCAAGCCCGTGTTGTCGGTCCACTGGAAGTCCTGCTCCACGATCCTGTCATTGAGCCCGATCCAGGTGTTCTCGTGCCCAAAACCTGCGGGGAGGGGCACGCCCGGCCCTCAGGGGGGGAGGGGAGGGGCGCCCGGGGGGGCGGGACGGGGTGTGACCCCCCCCACACCCACCGTTGATGAAGCCGTGCTCCTCCGGGGAGTGGATGCTGGTGAGGTGCCCGGAGCGGCGCCGGCAATCCCGCTCCGCGTCCTCCCAGGAGCGCCGGCGGGAGAAGTACCGGTAGCAGTGACCCTGGAACTTGTGCCAGTTGTGGTCACAGCCCTCCGTGTCTGCGGAGGGGACACGGGGACGGTGGGGACAGAGAAGAGGACCAGCGGCACGGGGAGGGACGCGGGGAGTGGCTCCTCATCCCGCGCCCCCTCCCAGCACCCCCAGAGCGGCGGGGGGTGCCCAGCACCCCGCGGGGGTCTCCCCCACCCCATGGTGACCCACCCGGGGGGTTCGTGGGGACACCGGGGGCTGCTCCCCACCTTTCTCGCAGCGGCTGCCGCCGTAACTGGGCAGGCAGAGGCACACGAAGGAGTTCACCTCGTCGATGCAGGTGCCGCCGTTCTGGCAGGGGCTGGACAGGCAGTCGTCGATGTCTGCGGGGACACCGCGGGGGGCTGTGGGCACGGGGAGACCCCCCTGGCACCCCCCCACCACCCACCCCGCCCATCGCCCCCTCCAGTGCCGGCGGTGACCGAGGGTGGGGGATTGGGCAGGACTTGGAGCCGCGGCCCCATTCCCGCGGCTGCTGCTCCGCGCTGGGCTGGGAGAGGGATTGGAATACTCCCGTGTGGGGCAGGGATTGGGATACTCCTGTGTGGGGCAGGGATTGGGATACTCCCGTGTGGGGCAGGGATTGGGATACTCCTGTGCCGGGGCAAGTTTGGGATGCTCCTATTCCGGGGCAGGTTTGGGATGCTCCCGTGCCGGGGGAGGTTTGGGATGCTCCCGTTCCGGGGCAGGTTTGGGATGCTCCCGTTCCGGGGCAGGTTTGGGATGCTCCTGTTCCGGGGCAGGTTTGGGATGCTCCTGTTCCGGGGGAGGTTTGGGATGCTCCCGTTCCGGGGGAGGGCTCAGGACGCCCCGGCTCTCACCGATCTCGCAGTTCTCCCCGGTGAACCCGGGGGCGCAGCTGCAGCCGCAGACGGTGCCGTTGGCGCGGCAGGTCCCGCCGTGCAGGCAGGGGTTGTTCTCGCAGGGGTCCGACGGGGCTGGGAGGGGGGGGAGCAGGAGCCCTGAGCCCGGGCGGGGGGACACAGCGGCCCCCACCCCATCCCCGCTCCCATCCCACCCGCGCCCAGTTGGTGGAAACTCCCCAGTGAGTGAATTGGTTTGGGTAAAAGGAGAGAAAGCTCCCAAACCTCCCCCCCCAAACCCTCCCGGTGGGTCAGCAGGAAGCTCCCGCCTCCCCAGCCCGTCGTCCCTGTGCCCATCAGCCGCGGGGGACAAGGGGACACGCTGCCATCGCGCTCACCGTGCCGGGTGGCGTTGCCGGTGCCCCCCCAGGCCAGCAGCTCCCGCTCCTCCGTTCCCGGCCCCTCGCCGCTCCCGCTGTCGGTGTCCAGCAGCGGGGACCCCCCCGGGCCCCCCAGCTCCGCTGCCATGGAGGGCTCGGAGAGCAGCCCCGCGCCGGGGGACTCGGGGGTCCCCTCCACCCCCGGGTGGGGAGCAGTGGGTGGTGACCAAGGGCCGCGGGTGGCCGAGCCGAGGGGCGCGGGGGGCTCTTCCCTCCTCGCCTCCCCGGAGGAATCCTCCTGGCTGGGGGATGTTGGAGCATCCTCGTGGCTGAGGGGGGCTGAGGAGCCCAGGGGGGGCTGCCGAGGGCCCGGGGGGGGCAGGAGGAGCTGCTCCCCTGCCCCCAGCTCCGGCCCAGCGTGGCCAGTGGGATGGGGGGCTGCGGGGGCGAAGGCCGTGGACCCCTCCTCGGCCGCCGGCTCCAGCACCGCCGCCTCCACCGGCCCCTCGGAGCTGGCCCACGGGGTCCCCGCGGTGGCCGCGGGGCGAGTTGATGGCGAGGGGACGTCCCAACCCGGCGGGGGCGCGGCCGCTTCACTGCTGGGCTCGGCTGCGCCTTTCCCGACATCCCTGGATTCCTCTGGCTGCTCCCGGCCGGGCTCAGCCGGCCCGTGGGGGGCCGTGGGGCTCAGCCCCCCCCGGGCATGAGGAGCAGCCC